GCTGTTGAAAATGAAGGAGGACTAATAGACACAAATTAATCAAAGTGCTAGCACAGAATAGTCCAGTAAGAATGATCACCCTACAGTTTTCATGGATAAAATGATGAATAGCTAATTTTACACATCACCACGTCATTTACTTCCCTCTTCCTTCGTATTCATCTTCCCCTCGTTGTTATACAAATTCATTCTAACACACAGGTGTTAAACGTCGCTTTGTATTACTCGATATCTTATTTCTTACTTCTACTTCTTCTCAGTTAACATCCGTGTTATGAACTTTCCCCCATTGCTCACAAAACACATCCAGCCTTGAATGTATTAAACAATTTACATCAATTGAAATAAGAAGTAGAAACTTGGAAATCGAGGATTTGTGTATTTAATGTTTGAGTGATTGTGGAGCAGATGGCTTACTGTACTGTTCTACGATTGAATTAACGAGTATCTTTCACACTGAGTGTTGACTCTGTGAACACTTGCTTTGCTTCAGGCCTTTTGTTTTACACCAAGTGAGCTTTGGACACATCACACATGATAGACAACAAGACTCGACCATTCTCTAGATTTTTCAGATGCACATGTGTAAAGGGTGGTCATTTCCTAATACCTCCTGTAACGGAACATCCTGGCCATCACAGGAGAAGATATTCAACTACTGTGGCCTTGTTAGTAGATTCGCATAGATTTCAATGAAGTGAAAAGACTTGAAGATTTACTAAGTGAATTCACCGACTTGTTCACTGTGAGCGTTGTGTCAGTAAAATTAGTGCACGAAATGCGACCGCACACGCCAGGTTGAACTACGAGCTTTATAACTGCTGCAACTTTAATATACGCTTTTGGATCTGGAGTTACCGCGGCTGCTGGCGCCAGACTTGCCCTCCAATTGGTCCTCGTTAAGGGATTTATATTGTACTCATTCGAATTACAGAGCCTCAGTTGAGTCCCGTATTCGTATTTTTCGTCACTACCTCCCCGTGCTGGGAGTGGGTAATTTTCGCGCCTGCTGCCCTCTTTGGATGTGGTAGCCATTTCTCAGGCTCCCTCTCAGGAATCGAACCCTGATACCCCGTTACCCGTTATTATCATGGTAGGCAGATCACCCACCAACAAGCAGACATTTGAAAGATCCGTCGCCGACACAATGCCGTCTGCGATCATTAAAGTTATCCAGAGTCATCACAGAATTCAACAGAGACAGCCGAAACTGCCCCCGGTTGGTTCTGTTCTAGTTAATGCACCCGTTCTCTTGCGCGTCAGGGCATAATTGCATGCATTAGCTCTAGAGTTACTACAGTTATCCATGTAGCATATATGATCTAAGGAGCCATAGCTGATTTAATGAGCCATTCGCCGTTTCACCGTTTTAAGGTATGTACTTAGACATCCATGGCTTAATCTCTGAGACAAGCATATGACTACTGGCGGGATCAACCAGTTTATTCACACAACGATACACCCATTGACTGGATATAGGTGTTCAGGAGAAACAAACACATGCATCCTTCCCTCTTCCGAGTCGAGAATGGCATGAATTAACGAGTATCTTTCACACTGAGTGTTGACTCTGTGAACACTTGCTTTGCTTCAGGCCTTTTGTTTTACACCAAGTGAGCTTTGGACACATCACACATGATAGACAACAAGACTCGACCATTCTCTAGATTTTTCAGATGCACATGTGTAAAGGGTGGTCATTTCCTAATACCTCCTGTAACGGAACATCCTGGCCATCACAGGAGAAGATATTCAACTACTGTGGCCTTGTTAGTAGATTCGCATAGATTTCAATGAAGTGAAAAGACTTGAGGCTTTACTAAGTGAATTCACCGACTTGTTCACTGTGAGCGTTGTGTCAGTAAAATTAGTGCACTTAGATGTTAATCGTGAGGGCCGTATGGGGTCTAAGATGATCAGTGTCGCATGTGTACCATCAACTAAATGTGTGTATCCAGTGATTTCTTCATCATCATCATATTTTAGCTGCATATATATCAGGCTTCAAAGCTCACCTATCTCTAGTAATTACGTATGCTCACAACTGCCTTTGACACCTGCTTATCCGATGCACTCAGGGGCTTCTTTGGCGTGTGTAGAGTGTTCTGTGAAGGAATCTCTTACATCCTTCAGAATTACATGCACTAGGCTTTCTTGATTGTGAGGATAACGTGTGAGACACCAGACATGAAGTCTAATCCCTTCAGATATCGATCACTTCCCAATTTTTGCTTGATATTCCAAGATGGTCAAAAATGCACTGACAATGTGGCCTCCATCACACGCTGCAGAAAGCTGACTAGCTATCCCTAAATGTCATCAAAAAGACTGATGATCTCTCTTCAAAAGCCTGTCAAACTCCCACCAGTCACACAACCGCAACTTCTTGAAACAATATCAAAAACAGAATCTGAGGTGAAGAATCCTCGATACTATTCAATATTAACATATTATGTGAAAATATTTGTAATTTTGATATAATCTTTGTGAATACAAAGTAGACCAACAATACCGTTCGGAAGCTTATAATTTCTAAAGCAGTCCAAGTACTATAGGTGTGCTATTCAACAAGATTAACTCCCCCATCTCAATAACATGTTACCTCAGAACCAATTGATATGATCACAGTGAATTTAGATAGAGCCACTGTCTGCAAGAATGAAACACAATAAACACGTCTCCCACAGACAGTCTAACGTCACATGGAAGTAGTAAACCGACAAATTATCAACGCCACCCTGTGTAGCTTCATCGGCATAACAATAAAGCCACTAGAAATAGACAGTCACTTCGACACATCAATGCAGAGTATATATGAAAATGACTACCAACATTGGATTCTGATTGGTTGTAATGTCATGTGATAAACAGGTCACCCATTGTTTATTTAGTTAATGGACAGACAAAGCATATTGTGAGTTATAATGGAATATCGACCAATGTACACATAGCCAAATATGTCAGACTGTCAAAAACAAAATAGACATCATGTGACTACATATCAAATTCTAGGCTATATTTCAAGTCACAAACTAGAATGAAACAGAGCTACAGTGATCACTTGTATTCCATGATCCATTCACCAGCCATGTTTCGTGATGAAATCGAAGATGGAAGTGAATCACGTGCGTTGGAGTCAACATTTGAGAGAGATAACCAATGTTATTAGTATTCATTCCTTTTGTTCCGAGTTGTGCATACCCATTCCAGACGAAATGGAATACGATAGGATAGATCCCATCATGGTGACCTGTGTCCACGAGTACTGACAAGCACGTTTTCTCTTCACATGACCTCCTTCATTTCTCCATCAGACACACCTGACATGTGGATTCCCATTGTCAATGTAGTTGAAGATTGAACGATCAATTCATGGTTGTTTTTGTTTAAACCAACTGTATATTTTGGCGGGAGTAACGGATACTGCAGTCATCGTTCCAGCGTTCGCTGTCCGTTAGTAGACGGAGAAATACTATCAGAAGTATTATTGTGATTTATTGTTATGACACTCATTCTGAGACCTGTGTTGAATCACCTAATGGTTGGCTCTATATTGGTGCAAGAATAAAGGGTTCTTGAGTCACCAATCTGTTTTCTGGTTTTTCGCGTTGGTTATTGCACAAAGTTGATGAAAGTCTTCTAAGGACAATACGAAGTCCAGTGTAGTTAGACTTGGACATTGACACCCGTTGATTCTTCACGCCAAATCCGAATGAAATGATGACCTATGGTATATGATGTGATGCAATATAGTTCCATCATAACTATGATCGAATCCCCCACTATCTATGTCTTTCCAACATTTTCTTCAAGAATTGCAGAACAATAATTTGAAATGGAAATGAAAATGTGCGTGAGTTTATGTTTTATCAAAGAACATGATTGTCTGAAAAGAAAATAATTGATGGATAAAATTGCATGCATCACACTCGAAAAATGTTGGTGGTTCACTGTGATTGAAACAGCTATACACAAGAGAAGTAGAGGATCTGAATTTTTCTGATGATCTGTGCCTTAACCATTCACAAGAACAAACGAACAAGTTGGTAAGAGCTGCAACGAAGACAGGATTCAAGTTGAATTAGTTTACCGAATATAGAAAACAGATTTCCAATAACCAGCTGCCGACTACCATCAACATCTGACTTCCCGAGATACTAAGGAACATGTGGTCCACCAGAGAGGATAAGCAATGCGACAAGAAGCTGTGGCGATGCAGAAAACCAATCAACACCATATTGCTCAACTAAAGAATATTCAGAAGGAAGTGGAGATGAAGTATGTGTATAGTGATCAGACATTTCTGGTAACACCATTCACCCTGAATGCCCTCAATTGCAGGGCTAATGGTAATCGAAGTTCTGTGAATCGACCTCATGATAACACGAGAGACATAATGTGAACAAGGAATGGAAGCTTGCATACAGCCGTGGAGTTAGCCTTCAAGTCATCAGGTAACAGAAGTTGGTGTCAATGTTGTAAGTGAGCCCTCTGTTTCACTGAGAACACAATGAATGTACAATAGTCTGCGACCTGTGATAATAGTTGTCACTGGACGTAGAAGAAGTTTTTTGAGTAAGTTACCGTGAAGTGCAGTAATTAAGTATTGTGAAATGAAAAATAACAATAGCTTCAACACTGTTATCGAGACGCAACAGAAAGTCAAAGAGTGGTGAAATCTCCGAAATTGTTGTCATATCTGAATTATCAATCGAAGAAGCAGATATGCGACTGAGAAAACTTCAATTTGGATTTCATCTGGAATCACCATTAGTCAGAGAATCGCTGACAACAAAGGATGGTTAGATATTATTTTATCCTGCTTCAAGGCTTTTCAATAGTGTAACAACAGAAGTCAAGGGCCAGGCAACAGATCGTTTTATTATGAAAATCAACACGTATTTATACATATTCCACATACATTATTATAGACAAGCACAGTCATCTGATTGGTTGTTTATCAAAAGTTAGGCAGACAAACGCAGGCTTCTGATTGGTTGTTTCGGGATTCCTTGACAAATAGAGTTCTCTATCTGCGAATCATATTTTGCCACGTTAACTTTGCTGTGATTGGTTGTTGACTCAGCCTTGTTCATATTTTCTCACGGCCCATATTAGTGACCTAGACCTTAACGTAGATTAGTGTCAACCAATCGGCTAGCAGCCTGCTCTCACCACACTCGTCCCCCCGTCAAATACGTGCGACTGAAGTCGGCTTGATCTACTTGGTGCAAGCGTCATCGTTGGCTTGTCTCGCTGTATCCATTTCTGGAGCTCGCTGACGTTCACGCGCCTCTTATTGTTCGCCATTGCGACTGTGTCTACGTAACCCCATCTCGAAGTGACCATATATGGTCCTTCCCACTTTGGAAACTGTTTGCCTGACCCTGTCGAACATTCGTCCATACTTCGGCTCACACTTTCATATGCTGCTTTCACCCGACCTCCCAGCCGCGTCCCAAGTAGCAGCTCCATCGCTGACAGATCTTGAACGCCAGTGAACTGCGCAGAAGCCTTGAAGTCCTGCCCGAAGATCCATATGTCTCCATCAAAAACAGCAGGGCATAGGCTTTCCATTTGTCGGTAGGCAGCGACACCAAATGTAACAACAGAAGTCAAGGGCCAGGCAACAGATCGTTTTATTATGAAAATCAACACGTATTTATACATATTCCACATACATTATTATAGACAAGCGCAGTCATCTGATTGGTTGTTTATCAAAAGTTAGGCAGACAAACGCAGGCTTCTGATTGGTTGTTTCGGGATTCCTTGACAAATAGAGTTCTCTATCTGCGAATCATATTTTGCCACGTTAACTTTGCTGTGATTGGTTGTTGGCTCAGCCTTGTTCATATTTTCTCACGGCCCATATTAACGTAGCTTAGTGTCAGCCAATCGGCTAGCAGCCTGCTCTCACCACAATAGTACACTCCTTGAATCCACGAGAAATCGTAGGCGGTTTCTGTGGCTGTGACTTCGTTCAAGAATTATGATAGAAAGTCGGGCTCGTTGTATTTGATCATGTACTGAGAAAGCTGCCTACTATCACGAGTCATATTCCTGATTGTAGCGGACTGGATTATGCGGGAAATTGTGAATGAGACCAAGAAGACAGGCATACATTGTACCAATGAGAATACGCGAGATGACTTGAACTTCAGTCACATCATCCATCGTTGATCATCATCAACTTTGAACCCTGTGTTTATTAAGTTGGCCGAAATCAGTCAATCAATCGAAATGATTCTCAGAGAAGTCAAACTCAATACATGTCATATCATTGACAATGGAGTGAATGTATTTCTCAAGTGAGTGACTCCTAAGAATTGAGTAAATTTCATTTCTTCCCTAACTCATATTAATATATGTAAAGAATTTGGGCACTGTGTTAGTAAGTAATTCCATATTAGCTTGTTTACTAGATGTATCACACAGTGATACGTCTAATGAACAAACTAATATGCAATTGCCTTTCCTACATTCTGATGCACCATCACACTAAGCGATGAGCATAAAATGCATGAACTGCTGTAATTGGTGAGTGAAGACACTGTAAAGAGAGTATAGTGCATAGCGTGATTTACGAATGATGATATTTGAATAATATGCATGGTCGCTTAATTCACTTATATGAGTAGTATAGTGCGTGTGTGTATGCGATACAGTCGCATAGATGTATATTGTAGTCTGGAGAATGAAATACAAGATTTTGTGATAGCCTTCTTCTAAGAATGAAAAATTTCACACTGAAATCGTATTCTCCCGTGATTTTCTATTATTTTTGCAAAATGTATATTTGTGGTATGGTAGTTGGTTTTATTACAGGTAATGACTGCTTCCTTCCGTCAAGCGCAATACTGGAAAACACCGTTCTAATTTTTGCAAGCCGCCATGCAATTATGTTCATGGTGGCTCAAAAATAACAAAATAGAAAATTCGGTGGTTTCCTACTTGCCTACAATGAGATAGATAATCGCACCTTGTACAAACCAATCACCATGTATAGACTATTTGCTGTAAACAAGGCGTCAAATATCTGCACTACTGTGACATCAAACAAACTTGGTCCTCTGGTATCGGCTCTCGTGACTTGATGATGAGACAAGCAGTAAACGCTCCATATAGAGTAATAAGTTCTCTCAAGTTAAACTGTAGCCATATTAATCAGACTTCAGTGTGTCTGATCTCACTCATGATTTTCATTTGTTTGTATCACTGAGTGAATATCTCTCAATTTTCTGACATGTTGTTTGTGATGAGTGTTAAGGAGAATAAACATAAGGAGATTAAGACTGTTTTACGACTAACTCGTCAGCTCTCACTTTCTGTAACTTTCCACTATCCAATAATTTTGTAGTCCATAACAATCAGACTTGAAATTTTTATCATCATCACCAATAATAGCATTCATTCATTGCTTTCCTCCTCGAGTGGAACACTCATCAACGTTGGAACATATCCTTTCCACACGATTGACAGCCTGCACTCCTATCAGGCTCAACTACTTCATGCGAGCTTTCGGTTCATCTTTTATATTTTTTATATTTTTGATTACAGCTTGATTCCACACTGTATTGTTGGTACAATTATGGAATTTTCAGCATAGATATCGGTAGCCCAAATTTTGCAGGCCGACCATAGATATCAGGTGTGCATCGGCAGGGGATCAAGCCTCGGACCATGTTCATGGTTGTCGAGAGTCCTAACCACTGTGCCACCGACGCATCTTCACATTATATTATCCATTTCGACATAATATCAAACCCATTTTTCTCTCTGATTGTCAGGTTGCATTCAAGGAGTGGAACAGTGTGTGGTGTCACTCGATGATCTTCACTGTGTATATCCGGTCAACCTTCATTTCCTACTGAATATTCGTTAGTGAGACAGTAGGTTGTTGTCTGGCTCTATTTCACGTCTCCCCCTCCCTCCACCTCAACTGATGCCGTTTTAGTCGTTTGGAGTAATATTTTTTCAGATCATGAGGTGCTAAAACTTGTACTAAACATTCCGCCTGAAATCAATTGCTTCTCACTTACTTTATCTGTCAATAGGTGACTAGTAACAAGCTCCGATAAGCGGCAATTGAGAAGAGAGAAAATGTAACTTCAGCGATTATTAGCCTCATATGTGATTCTGAGTTTTGAACCGTAGCGCGTTATTCCTGAGGTCTTGTGTTTAGTGAATTCGACATGTCTCTGCATCGTATTGAACGCCATCATTGGGCATCTTTCCATTTCCTTTCAATGCGTTGACTGCGGAAGACTTTCACATATATTTCATAGTAATGATCTGTGTCCTGATTTCTGGATCCTCCGTGTGTTATCATCAACCTAGCCTACTGTGTTTGAAACGATGATTTCCTGTTTAGGTAGGTGGACTTAAGAGGGTTCTGAGAAGTTAGTTCCCATTAATATGAACTTGTTTGTCTCGTCGCCTCGACAGCTGCCATGAATATCATCATCATACCTACTCCTGTCCCACTTGAAATAAACCAGTGAGCAGTAGGTCCTCATCAAACCAGTAATGAATCAGACTTGTGAAAATTTATGGCGACGCACTGCACATTGTTGACATGGCTGTCAAATTCATTCTCCATCAACGCTGTAGGAAGTCTTTACGAGAACGATGACGCTGAGATGAATTGTTGGAGAGTTCGATTATGCTACACGTTGACCTTAACAAACTTTCTATGCTTTGTTGAAAACCCATATGCACATTGATTGCAACTTAGTTTGTGCATGTGTGTGAATTACACTGCCCTGTTTCACTCTATTCTCTCTAAACCGGTGGACATTCCAGTTACCAACAAATCTGAAATTTCATTCTCTCATTCATCTCCCTCATGATAATCGTCAAATTAGTATTCTTATATGTTACCTCATGTCACATTAAGATGTTTCGAAAATCTATATGAAATGTAATCACTCACTGTGTCAATCATGTATGACGCTGATGACATTTGAAGTGAATATTTGGTAAATATTAAATCCATGGTGTATATTAAATTCACTATGGAATACGAACACAACGATGAGTTCAATTACTTGGACCCAAATATCAAAGATGAAACGATGGAACGGTCGAAAAGTCCATCTACGGAAAAGAAACTTGGACCGGACAATACCTTCACTACAACAGCTTCTGCCCTATGAGCCATAAGCGGGGATTAGTAAGGACACTGTACGACAGAGCCAGGGGAGTTATGTTCGCCTAACAAGGTAGAAGAAGAATTAAGCTTTGTTGAAAAATGCCTTAAGGGAAACGGGTATCCAAAAGGATTTATCCTAAAGTACAGGAAAGAAAGAGATGAGAAAAAGAAGTATCCAACAGTTGGAAAGGAGAAACACTATCGCAAAAGATTGAAAAGAGGATGAAGGGAGCAATAAAGAGATGCTTCCCTGTAGCCAATCTGGTGACATTATACTGTACTGCATGCCCTATAAGACGATCGAGACTGGATAAGTACCCTGCTGATGTTACCTCCAACTGCATTTATAAGTTTACATGTACCTGCGACAGCAAGTACATTGGAAGGACAGAAAGCAAGAAGGGCTTCTATCCGGTTTTCCGAGCATATCTTAAGAAACTTATGCCTAAAAGGAAACAGATATTTACAAAGTGCAATTACCAGACACCTTGTGGATACGGGTCATTTTGTCGAGATTTCCAAATCCTTAAAAATATTAAGCATACAAAGGACAGCGAGTCTACTACGTTTTGCTGAAGCGATTGCAATCAAAGGACACAGACCAAACTTATGCATACAGGAAGAGAGTGTGGTCAATCTCTCACTCCCTTGGTAACCATTTTATTTTCATTACACTGATAAGTCATACACACCAGTGGGCACGACTCACTGAGCAAGTTTTCAAACTGATGAACTTTGACCTTCTCGAGTTGTCCTGTTGACACTGTTTATTTGATTTTTCTGTTTTCTGTCCTCTCTTACCCCTTACCTCTTTTCTTTTTTCATAGTTCGACAGTATATAAATTGATGATAACTTAAACTATGATTTATAATACTTATATTCCAGATGCGTTCACCATATAATGTTTTCTCTATTACCTTTCAAAAATGAAGTATGAAATGTTATTAATAATAACCATTGAAATTTCAGGTAGTTTGCAGCTGATGAGAACCTGTGAAATCGAATGATGTCATTTTATACTGCAAATCTGGTCTTTCTTTCTCTATCGAAATTTATCAAAGGAACCAAATGTATAAAATATTTTTGATTTATTCAATAAATATAGTGGGGAGATGATGAGGACTTTGATGGAAGTGTGAGAGGACTACCTGTCATTTACTAAAGATTGTGTACGGGTAAACGAAAAACTCCTGGTCTGAATGAATCGTCGATTCATTTTCAATTGAACGCCATATATGAACTCGATAGTTTTCATCGAACTACTGAACCAACTAGTTTTTACCTCTCTTAAAAGCACTTGTGAACCGACAGAAGACAAGGATCAGGCAACAGATCGTTTATTGAGAAAATCAACAGATATTTATTGATTTTTATGTACATATTATTCGTAATTTTTAGCAGAGAATAACAATAACTCTTCTAGCATTTTACAGTCTTTGTGATTTCATGTGTACGCATAC